ATTTCAAAAGGATTTGTTTATATTTTTGTATTCATACTTGTCCTTGTCATTGATCTTAACAGTTAAAATATATAATTTAGAATTAGATAAATGTTTTTTTATCAGCCAATGTCAAAGATAACAATACTGCGGTTAACAGAATTTAAATCATTAMGTTTTATTTCTTGAAATAAATTACGCTCTCGTTTTCATCAATGTTAAACAAATCGCTCTACTAATACTCATAATTAGGGCCCGGATTTAAATGCTCTTAAAATTATACAAATATGCTCTAAAAAAAATAGCTAAATTTGAAATATTATAATCTGACTAATAGTAAAACAATATAACTGGATTATGGTTTAGTCAATTTATGTTTCAACCAGTTAGGTATTCGTATTTTAATAAAATAAATAGTATGGATTATGACTCATTTAAATATTTTCATATTATCATGACTAAACTAGCTTGAAAACAACATTTCAAATCATGATGCAACTTMAAATACTATTTTTCATACGTCCGAATGATATGTTCATATTTGTGTATCATTAAAATAAAAGTTATGCGGTAATCACTATTGCGTAKTATAAATTATACTTGCGTGAATTTTGCATGATACATACAAGTATTGTTATGAATGATAATATAATTTAGTTGCCAGAAAACATAGAGTTATATGATATTAATTATTAGAAGAGAGTAAACTGTATWAACATATTAACAACTATTTCATAATGATCGAAACAAATAACAATATAATATTATACATTGTATTGTTGTTTAATGCGAATAACTGAATTTCTTTTCAATAGTTATCAAAAACTGTAAATAACGTTACTTTAAAACTTATTCGATGCAAAGATTTATAAATTAAAGCTTTTGAGTTAGTATTCGTGTTCAGCATTTATTTAAATTTATGTTGATTCTGCAGTAAAAGAAACAAATTAATGTAAGCATTCATAATATTATGTAGTAAAAACAATTTGTTGATAAATTAATAAAAGTGAAACAATAAATATTGAGGTGTCTGAAATTAAATGTTATTTTATTTATGAAATCAATCAAGTTACTTATTTACATTTTACTTATTCACTGCCATGTGTATCTCGGTATTTGTGTTACATCACTAGAATACCTAATAGTTATTATTCGTTACAATATAAAAATAAACTTTTAAAGTATAAATTAATAATCGTTTTAAAAATAAACCTTAATCGATTATACGGAAATTATTTATCAGTATAATTAACAAACAAAATAATACATTTTCGCATTGAATAATGTTGTGTTTGAAGTCCATTCTCGTTACCGTAGACATAATAAGGAAACCTGACTTTTTAGTGCTATTAAAAAAGTCGTTATTTCGACGAACATAAAATCTAAACTGATGCGATTGTACGTTGGTATGTAACTTTATGCGTAGAGGTCAGATGAGGATCAAATATTGCAGATCACATCACAGAAATTTTAATTACCGTATATTTTGTTTTTCTTGTTCCCTCTTGTGTTTTTTTTTTTTGTTTGTTTTGGTAATTAATAATTATGTATTTATTTTTATATCAAATAATTTATAAAATGTTTTTGGCGTATATTGTTGAGTTCAAGTACCTTTCTGCCTGGAATAGTTTTCTCACTCGCTGGCGCGGCGGTGGTAATTTTTTTTTTCCATCATTTAAACGTGCGTTGCCAATTTACCCGTGACCGTTATTTGCATGACAAAATAACGTAATTTTCGAATGGATAATTCAGTTAATTGTATGTTGTAGTTTTTCTTTTTTTTTGTCTGTGCACAATTTCTCGCACATACAAACACGCTCCTCCGACACCTCACCACGGGCAGGACTGCATAATATATGTGCAGGAGGTTAAAAATTGGGCCGTTCGTCGAAGAAGTTATGTATATAATATAGGTAGAAAGTATAAGTGTATGCGTGTACTGTGTAGATTTACTCGGACGATTGATCGTTATAATATTATGAACAACGATGTATTRTGCTCGGCGTTTCCCGGGAAAATCGATTCTCCGTACCTGTGTGTACGTTTTGCGTGTATCAACTTTCACGATTGCGCTTGCGGTAGTGCAGGTGTGCCCTCGACCGCTGAAACAAAATGTAAGTCAATCGATCCGATCGTTGTGTGATATGATGTGATACGCGTGGGAGTGTGGGGCAGTCGACATCAGTGACGTGGCCTGGAGGGGGGGAAGGGGCGATTGAAAGGTTTTAAGTGTATCGGTTCTCCCCTACAGCACATCCCGAAATGTTATTATATTGTTATAATATTATCGTTTATCAATTCAAATTGCCAATTATTGGGCTATTCAATGCATATTGTTGAGGTACCTATTTGGAAAATGTAAATTGTACCGTTATACGATTATATTATCTAAATACTAAATGTACAGAACAATCGTGTGTTATCAACTTATATATATATATATTATGCAACGGCTTGGATAGTTAGTAATGCGGACGACGTGGCTGAGAGGGTAATCGAAATATGGCGGTCAACACCTAGTTTTTTCTAAAGGCTGATGGATGGGTTGGTGATAGGTATAATGGCCATCGGGTAATAATTCGTTATGAAACTTTTAAGTTATAGTAATTTAGAATTTACTACGACAGCTATTTAAAAATGTGGCAGTAAATAATAAATACAAATATATATACTTTAATGGGCTTTTGGGTGGGTGGATGGAATATTAGACTTGCCCCCCAAAAAAATTTCAAGTTCTCCAAACTGGTTATGAATTATGATACTAAACCTATACCATAAGCCATAAGCGCCACAGCCGTGAGTAAAACTAACTATCAAACTRTAATAGGGTTTATAATAGCCTATCGAGTTAAGAATGTCATCACTGCAACAATAATATGGTTGAACTACATTATAACTTAGCAAATTTACATTCAGTTGTTCACATTGAGATTCGTTAATTTTAATATTTGAGTGAATTGCTTGTGTATAACAACAAATCTAATACTAGTTTTTAAGTTAAAAATATATCGAAACAATTTTACCAACACATTTCATAATAGGTCAAGTATCTATATCGAAATCACAAATTTACTTTCTAATTTTACAAGTTATAGATCTGGCATTCAGGTGCAATTGATTAACGTATTAATGCTTCGGCGCAACACAATATAATATAATATTCTTTTTCAATATTTTAAAAACGACACCATGGAGCGATACGGTTTTTTCTAATTATAATAATTCGAACTTGATATATCCCCTCAAAAAAAAAAAAAAAAATTGTAGTTGCGCCGCCACTGATCGACTTTGCCTATTATACAAAACATTCATGTTGCATACTTGCGATAACTTACTTTACACTGTCCGTCTCTWGCACGGTAAGTGATAAAAATCCCCGTTAGGTGTACAAGAGTACAAGACGTGTTKAACWCGTTAATTACCTATGCGTGGATTCAAAATGTCACGAGTTTAATTTTTTAAGTATACTTTAAGACAATAGGTTTTCGAATACATTTAATTTGACGTGTTGGCACTAACTTCTTCATTCGAATGAGAACTCCCGTCCCTCTCGAATCCAAAACGGAATTCAAATCTATTTCTGACTTCTGAGTTTGTGTACTAATATTGTGTCTAATTAGCCAATATGATCAAATTGTCCACCTAATGATAGGTTCAAAATATATTACCTAAACCAAACACACGACGTTACAATATTACTATTGTTATAGTTGCGTTAATAATTATAATGTTGTTCAATGTCGTCATTGAGCGCAGTCGTGAATGAATTCCAATGGAAAATAACACCCATGGCAATCAAACACCCGTAGGTAGGTAAATACCTGTAAATACACTGAACATCGATGTAGGTTTATGCTTCGGACCATGCATCCGGGATTTTTTCGTAAGTCTGYCGCGTACAATATCACGATGACGCGTGTGCAGTGCACGCGGTGTGACAAAACGAGAGGAAAATAAAATAATAATCCTTGTGCGTTCGTTTCAAGGTTACGGCATTTGGTATTCTGCTCTGCTGTTGTATGAGATTTGCGCATTARTATTGTAATAGTATGATTACTCCTCTCAYAATATTATGATATCGTTCCTTTAAGTGTGCAAAATGTATCGTTTGAAAATTTGTWGGTAAATGTACGCATATATGAAATTTACAAAAATCATAATTAGGTAGGTACTTATAATAATTATATCAAAACATTTTGTCTGAACTCTAGTTCTCAGGATTGTACGGAACTGTTTGAACCGAAATAACAGAACCGAACAATACATTATACTGATGGTTCAAGGTTTACTAAAACAAATACAAGTGTATAATAAAATTATTGAATACTCGTCGTTGTTGTAACGATTACAAATTAAGGTATTATATGTGTTATTTGGATTGTAATGTAAAATTATTTGAATGACAATTTAATTATTTTGTGGCCTATAAAAACGGTATTCCTAGTCATAGATAAATAGGGCATTTCTTTGTAATCATTCTACAGGTAAAAATTCGTATTACGGCTTAAAATTACAATAGTATCAAGCGACGTTATTTTGGAGTCTTAATAATTATAAATCACAGAAAAACAAATATAGCTGGGTTATTACACAAAATTGTAAAAAACTAGTGTTTCAGTCGTTATYAAATATTGTACGCTATTAGTTGTTTGTTCATGATAGGTAGTATCGAACCTGGTCACGTGTGGCAGTCATAATATTTTTTAAATCGAATTTCTTACTATTAATAAAAATACTATGTTTTTAATATAGTTAAATCACAATAGTTTAGAGTGTACTTCCTCGAAACGAAGAATCTCCAAAATACATTTTGTGGATAAAATATTTTAATGTAGACGACGATGATAAGTGTGAAAAACACTTTGTGTCACGAACAACAAAATGCCGGTATCGACAGTTGGRCCGATTACATTTTGTTTAGTGTTTAATATGACGAAATACGAAACCTATACGTGCTATACAATATCGCATAATATTATAGCATTTTATTAATGCAATATTGTGTTGTTGTTTATTTTCAGGATTCATCGATGTCGAAGGCGATAATACAATTCAAATAGATTATTTGTCTCACGAATGGCCGATATTGGTAAGCCATTACTGGGCAAGTGCTACCGTGTTGGTTGCCGGATTGGTGTTCGCTGTTTTAATGCCGCTGATTGGTCTGACTTTATGCTGTTGCCGTTGCACTGGAGGTTGTGGCTCCCGGTCTCAACCATTTGACGCCAAATACGATTCTTGCAAGAGACAGTTTTATGGCATGATACTAGCTGGGCTTACTATACTAATATCGTGAGTCGTCCATTCATACTTTATACGCCCATGTAACTTTCCCGGGTTATAATAATGCGAGATATCAAAATATGGCGTGTATCTCAACACTTTAATTATTTGTACACGATCAAACTAGATAAACATACGTCATCTCTTAGTTATTCTGAGGAGAGGTGCGATGAATGTATTGGCATGAAAACTACAACGTGCGATTAAATGATGTTTTACACCGATGGCGGTTGTTGGTAGTAAATTCGGTCTAGTCGGTACTTTGTGACCGAAAGTTAAAACTCGCATTGCYTACTTTTACATATCATCGGGAAAGCCAAAAACAAAAATTTGGAAACACGTTAATCTTAACAACAAACCATGAAGTTTTAAACAAAATCGAAAATCGAAATTCTTAATTTGTTTTAGTTAAAAAATGCTGTAGATACCAGAGATTTTCTTTTTTTTAGTTTTTTTATTTATCACTGTTTATCAAATTATCTTTTTCAATTTTAAAATATTCAGATAAATTTTAATCTATTTATAAGCATTTAATTCAATTTATTTAGTTTTTTTTTCTGTAAATGTTTTWAAAAAAAATTATGGTTGACCAATGCACTTGAAATTTAAGACAAGATCTCGATTAAGAGATAGTTGTTTTTAAGCAATTCTAAAATATAGCCATATWATTTTTTAATGCATTTGAGCTTACATACATTTATGCTTTGTCATTAATGAACTATTTTGTTTTAGATTTGGCGTTGTTTGTACATTTGTGAGTAATGAATATTTAGAAGACGGTGTTAATGAGTTACCAACAAATATTAAGAAATCTTTAAATGATACCAGACTATTTATAAATAATACAAAAAAAGTAAGAAATACCTGTTTATTCTTCTAAAAATAAAAATTTTAAATATCATATTTCTATATACAGACAGTAAAACTTTCATATAACGAAATCTCATAGAAACAACAAAAAATGAGTATTGTWGTGGATTTCGTTAAACAGAAAATCATGTTAAATGGGAGTTCGTTTTATGGATGTTTCATTGAATTATATTTATATATTATTTTGTTTATATGATGTGTTGTAAATTGTCTATATTTGCAGGAAGTTGATAATCTATTAGTTGTGAACTTTGACGAGTTGGAAGAAACACTATCAAATATATTGGAAGGTAAAAAAAATTTTTAAGTTTTTAAAACATTTTAAGTATAATATAACATGTATATAAATAATAAATTAATGTTACAGCTAGCGGTGAAATTGTAAAAAAAAAACTTGGTGAAGTTTCTAAAGCATCAGTTTTATCYAATTTAACTGCTGTYGTAAATGGACTGGGGCTCATCAAACAAGATCTTTCTAATGTTGATTCATTAACTCGTCAATTACAGGAAACAGCTTTGCAATTAGATGCTGGTATGATCCTATATTATTTTTAACACTTGAAGAAAAAGGCCTTTTGTGAATGATTATTTGATTTATTTAGCTTTAAAGGAATGCCGATCAATTATTATGAAAAAATTGGARTCATGTCGTTTTGAACGTACTTGTCGTGATATTTTAAATCGTTTTAATATCCAGGATCTTTCTTTGGAAGCAAACTTTAGTCAGGTAACTAAATATGCCAATATATAAAAATTATTTTTTAACTACTAAACATTGAAATCTTATTTTGTTTGCTTACCATGGATAGATATTAGACAATGATCTTCCAAAGGTAGGTTATAAAATGCTTGAATTTTGTGTCTGTTATAATGTTTCAGAAAAAAATACATTTATATATTATAAATTAGTTTCAAATTTAACAAAAATTCAGATGACCATTTATTGTTACTTAAGATAAATTTTTTTCCTTAGTTGCCAAATGTAACAGCTACCCTGAAGAATATATCTGATTTTATTACCGCTGACATTGAAGAAGAAGTCATGAAGGGTCAGCAACAGTTTGAAAAGGTGAAAACAATTATACAGAATGCTGTCAATGATAATATCCCAGAAATAAAACTAAATATTCGAAAAGTTGGAAATGCAATCAAAGAAAATTGTGTAAAAGTGGATAGAGTTCTAGATCGTGTAGATTCTACTATTGCCAACTCATATTCTCCAACAGAACAAGGAGAAGGCGTATTAAAAGAATTTTCACCTTATCGGTAAATTAATTTATACTTTACTAATTTTTATACTAAAAATATCAATATATTAAAATTTGTTTTGTTTGTAGGTATTATGTTTGTTTGGGTGTAGCTATTACRCTATTTTTGATTTTGATGTGTCTAACTCTTGGATTATTCTGTGGATTTTGTGGTAGCCGACCAGAAGGTGGATATCATCAAGATGATTGTTGTAATAAAGGAACAGGCGCTTCTTATTTGATGATGTATGTCTCCTAAATTGTAATAATAAGTATGTATATTGATTGTCTTAATATTGTGTGTTACAGGGCTGTATGGTTAATGTTTTTATCATCTGCATTTTTGATGATCATTGCTTTGTTTTATTTTGTTACTGGTGTAACTACTGATCGTATTATATGTGAACCATTGCAAAACCCTACACCTTCGAGGGTTTTAAACATAGTAAATCGTCTGTATGATGTGTCTGCAATACATAAATTAGATACCCAACAGAAACCTTATGTAAGGCCGACTCCAAGCAATACTGATTTTAATATTAGTTCTATAATTCGGTAAATAATATTGATAAATAATAACTAATTAACATAAATTCGAGTACTGTAATATTTTAATAATAATTTTATTTATTTACAGAGATTGCCATCGTAACATGAGTTTGTTCCAAGTTTTAAAAATGGAGAGACTGATTGATCTGAACAAAGTTTTAGAATATCCTACTTCTTTTGGTATCGATGAACATATTGATCAATTAGTATCAAAAATAAAATTAGAAGGAGAAATTGTAATTTTGACTCCTGAGGCAGAGAAACAATTGATAAAGTTGTCTAAATCACCTCTATCCAGTATCAATTTTCCAGCATACACCCATGTTGTAAGTTTTCATTAAAGTTTATTTCATTTCTTTTTAACCCAAAAATGTAATAATATTTGTCTGTATGATTATAGCTTGGTGAAAAAATAACATCAATTGATTTGGTTCAACTTGCTGATGCACTAAACCAAACAGCATCTCAATTGCCAATGTCAAAATCAGAGGTATATGTTTTGATTAAATTACTTAATTCAATATGAGTTGAATATTCTATTTGATTGGTGCACTAAAAATTGTTTATCACTTAATATTAATAAATGTCAGATAATGACTCACTATATCTAGATTAGATTGACTACTAACTATAATTTCTTTATAAATGGTTTAACTCTTCTATGTTCTACTGGTCCTATTAAAGAGCTTGGTTTATTATTTTACCTAAAGCTAAAATTTGATTTTCATATTTAGATGATTATTAATAAATTACATCAATTATCAGGTTCCTATTAATCATAGTTGTACAAACTTAACTGATTAACTTACTCTAAAATCGATTTACTGTTCATTAATACAACCTATCTGTGAATATGGTTCTATTGTATGGTCTCCCTACCAAACAGGCGAAAAAGAAATTTGGAAAAATTACAACATAAATTCTTACGCTACATGTCATTTAAATGCTCAATACCTAGAGAACCTCACACAACTTGCAATCCACTACTATCTATTTTAAACCTCCAGACGTTGGAATACATCAGACATATAAGTCTTGGCTTATGTTTCCGGTATAAGCTTCTAAATGGTAATGTTGATCGTCCAGATTTCTTAAGTCATTTAACCTTCCACTCCCACTTTTAACACGCGATCGACAAACACTTTTTGTTTAAGCCAACAAGTTACTAACTTTGCAAATAACACTCCTCAATAGATTAATGCAAACTGTTACWAAATTTAAAATTTGTGTGTTCAGCTCACTAAATTTAGACTCATTCTAATAGTATTTTAATTATTTAATTCTTAACACTTAAACACGCTATGTTTATTTCAATAATTATTTTGTATTGTTTATTATTTCTACCATTTTCCATAAACATATTTCCTTATATGTATATGATAACTACTATTAATATTATTATTATCATTATTATTATTATTATTATTTTTATTATTATTATATTATATTCTTACTTTGTCATTCATTATCACAATGATTTAAATTTTGCTGTCTATTGTAACAGTCCTTGCACGTTTAATACTTAATTAATAATATAAAATAAAAAAATTCTATAAAATATTAACTGAAAGAACATCATATATTTTTAGGTTAAATTTTCCCTGACCAACCAAGCAATGTATTTAAAAGTACATCAGGGACAACAAGTGGCATTGATGTTAGATATAAGTCAACGATTAGAATCCACTGCTAATCAGCTTCAAGAACATTTACGTTTTAATCATTCTTCATTACGGCATGCTGTTGAACATCTTCTGATTGAAGTTGAACAAGCTCAAAAATATTTATATAATGAAGGGCCAACAATTGTGACAAAAGTAAGTAATGCYGGCTATTTTGGCTTGATTTACTGTTTTKCTAACATATATTAWTTTAAGCAAAATATAAATATATTTATTTACACTAATTTATATTTTGTGGATTTGTGTTTTTATTTTATAAAACTTTCACAAAATACTAAGTTATAAATACTGTTGTTAGTARTAATAATATGTTCTAATGTTTTTCAGTTAGCAAAAGAATTCGGAGAAGAATTTAACAAACACATTGATCAATATTTACAAAGAATCGTAAACCAAATTAGAGAAGATGTTGGTAAATGCTGGCCTATGTCACAGGCTTATAATGCTACTATTGTTGCTGGATGCCAAAAAATACTTAATCCTTATGTGAGTTTAAAACTATGTGCAGTTGAAATTTTTATTTATGGACAACTCRCTAAAATTTATGATATTATTCAGTGTTGTAGGATATTTTTAAATTCCTTGGCAGAATAAATGTCTGTAAAAAGATTTTTTTTATATTTTAAAATGATATTATTAGGAATCAGATTTATACTCTCTAATACAATCTATCTTTGTAGTCGATATCATCATGTAGGTATTAAAAATATTAGTGTAAAAGAATTTATTTGATAATATAAAATACAAAAATATATTGTGGCTAAAATTTAAAAAAGTACCTACATACTTCATTGTAAATTCTATATATAAATAATTGTCCTCAAAATATTTCGATACATATTAATCAAAATACATGCTTAATAGAAAATYACTAAAACATGAATATATATACTTACAATAAAAAAAACATTAAAAAATGTCTTTCAGTAATTTAGGAATATATCTGAAGCTTATTTAAAATTGAATGACCCTGAAATAATTTTATTAATACATACAAATCTGCTACCTAGACATTATGTGCAAATAATGCATAATTTATTGTGACCAGTTACAATACTCATAACATAGTWAAGTAAATATTTACATTTCATATGYATACTTTCTTCATTTTTAATAATAGAGTACATTTACCTATTATTAATATTCTTGGGAGTGTTTACTAGTGTCTACTGATAAACAATTTCATCATTGATAGATTTTACTGTGTACAATATTTTAAACCATATTTAAATATTGATAATATTATTTATTTATTTCAATATTTTAGAATGGTTTTTGGATGAGTGTCGGCATTTGTTCAATTCTCTTCATGCCCATTATAATTCTTTGTGTGAAATTGGCTTCYCTATACCAGAAATCAGATCCTTACCCAGGGCCATTAGTGGAAGCGTAAGTATTGGTGTTTTTTCTATGAACTTATTTAAATTTTAATTCATGTTTATTATCATATTATAGAGAATACTTATATGATGCATACACAGACCGTGAAAATATTCCATTAGCAAGGTAAAATATTTTATTGTTTAAATTTAATTGATATATCTTAAATTCAAAAATATGTTATTGTATATTTAGCTCAAACAACAAGAAAAAAAACGCACGAAATAAACCACGTAAAAAAGTGACTACTGCTCCATGTGGAAATCGATCATCAAATATACCTATTGGCTAYGAGAATATGTCCAACCCAGAAATTGCTGTTAACACATCAGCTAACGAAAGTCGTCATCCTGGACATGGCGGTTCAGTTGATTATAGTGCACATCTTGGACGAGCTAACATTGTAGTGCCTACTACAAGCCCTTCAGGTGGCATACCTGAAGYACAGCCTAAGTATGTTATATTGTAAGATATTCTGTTGAATTCTATTGAGTAACAAATCATAATCAAAAAGRTATTATGCTTGTACTTGTTTGTSTTATTAACATGACAAAACATTTAAATTCAAAGCAATCGATACAGTTTTTGTAATTATTAATTCTATTGGAGTAAATTGACCAATTACAAATTAATATTTTAGAATAACTGAAACAATACCAATATTACATTCATAACTTGAAATATGCTGTGTTGTACACAATAATAAAGTGTAGTTGTAACTTGTAGTGATTATAGTTGAAAATTATATTAATAGAGAAATTGATAATGAATAATGAAGATAATAATAATTATTTATTGCATTAAATTAATTATAAATCATTATAAATCCATACTGATGGCRAATTTCAGGTTTTTATTGCTTCGGTGTACGATTTGTTTTTGGATTATAGGTTTAAAATATCAGTGATAGTATTACAATTTAAAAATGCTTTGCATGTTGCAATAAAATTAATGAGAGAAAACTCAGAAAACTGACTAGAGAACTCAAATATTGTCCATTTAATAAATCAATATACCACTTCAAAACAAAAAACTGTATTGATTGTGTGAAGCATAAACTGACTATGTTATGCATAAATAAAATAAATACTACATACAGTATTAATTTGTATAATACATATTAAGTGTTTTGATTTAAGCATTCAATACCATTAGTAAACCCTAATTGTAAATTGTAATCTTGTAGCCACAATAYGTTAAATACGTAAAGCTGTTTGACTACACTATGTATGTAACAACTAATATTAGTGTATGTCTATTTTAATAATACTTTTCCAATTATAAGTTGCATTAATCATTTATGTAATTATATTTTAAGGCCTACCTGGGACTTCCCAAATGGTGGACCACCTCATTATCAAAATCCGATCTCATCTGAATATGAACGCCCACCGCCATATTACTATCCTGGCCCTTCTGGACCACCAGGGTAAGTAATTAATTTTACTTTTCATTATTGAATAYTGTATATAAAATAGACACAAATGGACAATGATAAAAAATATTTTGTTTTTATCCGCAATTTGTCTCTAAGCCATTCCCATCATTTGTGATATCAATAGAACTTAATATTGCTCTTTGCATCTTCAAATTTGGGCTAAATTTTGAATACATATTAATTGAAAAATTTAAAAACCTTTGTATAATATGCACTAATTAAGTATCATTTTTTTTTTTT